ATATTGCAAAAGATGAGTTTTGTGAAGTATATAGAGCAAATTGGATTGATGGACATATAAGTTATTGTAAAAATAGTGGAAGTTGGGATAATGAAAATCAAAATTGGATAAGAGAAGGATGCAATATGTTTGTTAATTTGAAGAGTTTAAATACTTCAAACATTCTTACATTAGAATTTGTAAATGAGGTATAAGCTTCAGTTAATTATTAACAAAATTATAAATACTTTATTTCTAATAAATTATTACATTTGTAGATTAAAATTGAACATGAATTTTATGGAATAACTTGGGATCCAGAAACAAAAAATTATATGATGGTTTTGAATAATAAATGTAAAGAGTGTAATAAAATATGTAATTCAATTTACTTTCAACAAAATTTTGAAAATTGGACTAGTGGCAATGATGATATTGATAAATTTATTCAAAATACTCAGTTATCAGTACATAAAGTTGCAAGAGAAGCATTAGAATGGATACCTTATGATAGATTTCATGATATTAAATATATTGCAGAAGATGATTTTGGTAAAGTATATAGAGCAAATTGGATTGATGGATATATAAGTTATGATGAAAATGATAAAAGTTGGGATAATGTAAATCAAAATTGGAGAAGAAACAATCTTAATATGTTTGTGAATTTGAAAAGTTTAAATACTCCCAATGATCTTACATTTGAACTTGCAAATAAGGTAGTATACTAATAAGCTTATTACTCAACAAAATTTTAAAATTTTATTTTTCTAACATATTATTACATTTGTAGATTAAAATTGAACATACATTTTATGGAATAACTCAGGATCCAGAAACAAAAAATTATATGATGATAGTTTTGAATAATAAATGTAAAGAGTGTAATAAAATATACTGTAATTCAATATACTTTCAACGAAATTTTGAAAATTGGACTAGTGGTAATGATGATATTGATAAATTTATTCAAGATACTCAATTATCAGCTCATAAAGATGTAAAGGAAGCATTGGAATGGATACCTTATAATAGATTTTATGATATTAAATATATTGCAAAAGGTGGGTTCGGAAAAGTATACAGAGCATATTTAACTAATGGATTTATAACTGATTGGGATAGTAAAAATCAAAAATGGAAAAGAAATAGCAATGATATATTGGTAGCTCTGAAAAGTTTGAATAATTCAAAAAATATTACACCAGAATTTATTAATGAGGTATTATCTGATTAATTTAATTTATTATTATGTTAATAAAATTTAAATTATTAGTGTTACTAAAATATTTTGTAATATTGCATTCACATAGTTTATATTGCATAATAAAGTAGGAATGGATAATTTTGTGATTGTTGGATTTTATGGGATAACACAGGATCCAGAAACGAAAAATTATATAATGATTTTAGATTATGCAGAAGATGGAAGTTTACGAAATTATTTAGATAAAGAATATAGTAAGCTTAATTGGAATAAAAAGTTTGATTATTTACGACATATTGTAAATGGACTTGAATGTATTCATGAAAAGGAATTAATTCATCGAGATTTGCATATTGGGAATATATTAAAGTTTAAATATAAAACTGCTATAACTGATATGGGATTATGTAAACCTGCAAATTATAATGAATTAGAGAATGCAAAAAACAACATATATGGTGTTTTACCTTATATAGCCCCTGAAATTTTAAGAGGACAAAATTATACCAAAGCTACTGATATTTATAGTTTTGGTATAATAATGTATGAAGTAATTTCTGGATTATCCCCATATCATGATTTAAAACATGATAATAATCTAGCAATAAAAATTTGTAAAGGATTTAGACCGAGGTTTAACATTAAAGTACCACAATTAATTGTACATTTAATTAAAAGATGCTTAGATGCCAATCCATCAGAACGGCCAATAACAAAAGAAATAAACAATATTTTACGAAGATGGCATAATGGATCAAACGAAGAGTTACAAGCACAAATTAAGGAAGCAGATGAAATAAACAGCAATTCATTAAATAACATTACATCTAATTTAGGGATATATAACACACATTCAGAAGCTAGTTATACAAGTAGATTACTTGATTTTAGTAATCTTCCTGAACCAAAAAATTCCGATGATTATTATGAACAAAATGATAATATAATAAGCAAAGAATATTCAGGTATTAATTAAATGTTTTGTTAATTGTTACTTTTTAAATATATTAGTCAATATTCAACTAATAACAATCTTTTAATTTATTAAATAGAATCTTTACAACTTAACTTTTCTCAAATGAATATTAATACTAGTGGTAAATAGCATACTTATGTAATGACTTTATAAGTACCTAGTTTATAAAATACTAATAGTATCAATTTATTAAATAGAATCTTTGCAAATCAATATTTCTCAATTGAATATTAACGAAAATGGTAAATATTCCACTTATAATTTTAAGAATATTCAGTTTATAAATATTAATGATAAGTCTTAATTTATTAAATAGAATCTTTACAAATCAATATTTCTCAATTGAATATTAACGAGAATGGTAAATATTCTACTTACAACATTAAAAATATTTAATGTATAAAATACTAATAATAAAGTATCAATTTATTAAATAGAATCTTGTCAAATCAATATTTCTCAGTTGAATATTAACAAAAATGGTAATATTCCACTTATAATTTTAAGAATATTTAGTTTATAAATACTAACAATAAGTCTTAATTTATTAAATAGAATCTTCACAAATCAATATTTCTCGATTGAATGATAATGAAGATAGTAAATATTATTTTCTGCATAATAATCACGTTTTTTTCAATTCGTAATTAATATAATCTTTTTTTTTCTTAGGTCAAAATAGCGAATCGGGGAGTAAAGGAAAAAATTTTTTCTTAAGTCAAAATAACGAATCTGAGAGTGAAAGAAAAAAAGATGGAATAGAATAAAATTATAATTATATATATCCTTATTTAGTTTTTTGCTGCTATACCGAGTTTAATTATAAAATTATTATTTTTTTTTTTCAAAAAATTTGCCATTATAATCTAAAATTCTGCTTAACATCGGCTTTCTTAAAATCCAGGGAGATAGAATTTTTTTTTTTTTTTTGCTTTTCTATAAATTATGTTAGGTAGAATTTTAAATCATAATGACTTCATATTTAATTATATTTATGTTTGTATTCATTGATTTAAATAAATAACGATTTAAATTTTTAAAATATAAAACATAATAAAAGAATAAAATTAATTGGAATGAATATAATTCAGATTTTAATGCAAAAAGAATTTATTATTGTAAAATTTAAAAATTAACTTGCCGATATTTTACAATTGTAATATTTATTAACATCCAGTGCTTATTAACTTAAATGTTTTATGTGACAATAGAACTAATACTATTACATTAGTTTAAAAAAGTTCTTTGGAAACTGCTGCTCTTAAAATAATATATAATGCTGTAATGTGAAATGATAACATAAATTGATTAAAATTTGAATTTAAGCTGGCTTCTAAAAAAATATTTACCATATTTGAAGAACTAAAAATAAGAGAGTTTCACCATTTCAATCTACAGACTTACATGTAATAGCGCGATTTATTATTCTGAAATTGAATAATATAGTATTACCTAGTAAAGTTTATCACAAACCCGAATGGAGTCTTGATTTAGACATAAAGCAATAATATTTAAATTATGTTTTATAAATTTTATCTTAATATAATTAATATAGTTAGTACTTTTTCATCAAATACAATCTAAAATATAGACCAAAAAAACGTGATATCACTAAAGTATTACAAACTGAAACTCAAGATCACAGTAAGTAAAATTTATTACTTTTATATCACATTATTAATAACACTGGATATTTAGTTGACATCCAGACTGGATGTCAACTAATCCATAATTTTTACTTTATAGTTAAGCATATTAAGACTGAAAAGTCTGTAATCGAATAATTGAGATTTATTAATAGGATCAGTCATATATGGAATTTTATTTCTTTTTAAGCATACTATTATTATATTTTTTTTATTGTTTTTATTTTATATGGTTTTGTTCTATTGTATTAAAAAATTAAATAATATATCACAACTGTAATAAATAGAAAAAATTTTTAATTATGCCGTTCTTTTATAATATTTACATAAATTTATATAAGAATTTGTACAATCTGATAAAATCTTAGGGTATCCTAAGATAATCCTATCGTTGCATAACTTGAATATTGAATTCATAGATTAGTGTTAAAAATCATTTGATCATTTTTTTTCCGCGTAAATAGCGCAACTGCAAAAATCGGGGATTTTTCCGACGGTTACCCTTGAAAAAAATGTCCCGAAATTCACATGACGTTTCATCACCGCCGGGGTTACGTTAGGGCAGTCCGAATTAATCCGGCCAATATCGTTTTTTTTTTACATCAGTAACGCATTCCTTTATTAATTATAATCATAGATTACAATTGAGAAAATACCTAAAAGTACGTATCAAGAATAGCCGCACCTTTATAACTAAATTACTATCTATATATTTTACGTAATCTACACTAGAACTATCCTAAAATATTTTACGTAATCTACACTAGAACTATCCTAAAATAAAGTGTACAAGAAAGAAACAAAAACCAATAATTAAACCAATATAAAACTAAACTATTTTGTTTTTTTATTTTTATTTTGATCTTGTCTTTTCTCTGCACAGCTTGCCATTCCTCTTCTTCTTCACTTTCCATAACGCGTTTCTTCCCTTCTTTTGTGCCGTCCGTAGATTTCGTTGCTGTTTTTTTTCGGCTAGATGACGCGTTAATTTGATTATAAGCGTATAGATCTTCATCCAAAATCTTTTTTTGAGCCAACTAATCTTTAGCATTTTGTACTTTAACTATTCCAGTGGTTGCTTCTTTAATATTTTTGTACCAATCCTTTTTTTGAAGATCGTAAAATTCTTCCTCCGGCCAATAAAAAACATTTGATTAATTGTTGTTTATGATAATAAATTATTAGGTTTGTTTAATATTATACTGTGTTTTTTCAAAAAATTTAATAAAGATTAAAGCTTTATAGATTCTTCTATAATCTTTTTATCATAAATAAATTAATTTGAAGAAATATATATGTAAGAACTTAAGAAATAATAATGTAATTCCTGAAAGTATCTTTTTTTTTATAAGAATATTATAGTAACGATGAAAAAAGACTGTTAATTGCAATATTCATTTTATACAAGTTATTTTAATAAGATTTAGTTCATTTTCTTTAAATGTCGTTTTTAAAAGTTGTATTGTTAATCAATAAATTCTATCAATATAAAATTATAAAATTATTTACTTTGATTTTATAAAATTTTTAAAGAATAAAAAATTCTATTTTTTATTGATTTTTTATTAAATAACTTTTTCAAAATTGAATAAATAAAAAGATGATAATCAATCAAATAAAGAGAAAAAAAATAAATTATAAAGAAAATTAATTAATAAAGAAAATTAATTAATAATTAAAAAAAAAAAAATTCCTTTTTAAGAAAAAAAAAACATTAATTTTTTCTATATTAAAATAATTTAATACTCCTCCGCCATAATTAATGTTACTAAGGACGTCCAACCTGTAAATGGATGACTATTATGTAATTAAAAAAAAAAAAAAAGAAAAAATTAATATTATATTATTACGTATCAAAACATTATTTTTCAATTCGTTTAATAATCTTTAACTTACCTCCTTAAACCTACACCTGTATCTTCTGAATATTGTTCCCATACATAGCCGGTTCTCTCAAATTCCTGATAATATTATATATATATATATATATATATATATATATTCGTTAAATCAAGCTAAATCCGAAATCAATATTAAAATTTTAAATCACTTTACCTTATAAACATTTTCAATTATATTAATTCTCAACTCTTTATATATAGTTTTTGCTTTCTCTTTATAGGGACCCTCAATAGCTGCGTAGTTCTATAAAAAAAAATAAATCACGTTTTAAAATATTGGACAATTTTGAAACTCATGTAATTAAGTTATTTTTAAACATTCTTACTTTGTACAATGAAGATAACACTAAATAATTGATATTCATCCATACATTTCCTCTCCAATAGTCTTCTCCTGTATGGAAAAATCTATCAGATTTTGATAATGATCTTAACCCATATCTAATAAAATATGAATGATATGAATAAGAAATATATAATAAGGAATTATTTAAGGATTATTATAATAATAAGATGTTATCTTACTTTGACCATAATTCGCTCGGATTATAAATCATATCTAATATTGCTCCTAATTTTGGCGAATCATTAGGTAGTAATTCTAATACCATTGGAAATAATGATAAATATCCCTTATGACAAACAAATATTGAGTCCTCTAAGAAAAAAAGAAGATAATTAGAATATAAATAACGACGTTGCAGGATAGTCGCTTGAAACTAACAAATATCTTCATATAAATCTTACCATCTTCATCAACTGATAAATCGCAAAAAGCATCATGTTCTTCGCTCCAATGTAGATCTAGTATAAATATATTTATATATAAATAAATTTATCAAACAATTTAATAACTAAAAAAGGTGGTTTTAATTTACCATTTAAATTAGCAACAATATTTTTGTATTCTTTCGTGTAATCATCAGCATCATCTTCCTCTTCTAACCTTTCTGCAATTTCTTTAAGTGATCTTGCCATAAATCCAACCCAACACATAAGATCAACATGTAATTCAGCGGGATGTGGTGGTGTTGGTCTAGGGTAATCATCAAGTCCTATCGGGTAAATAAATAGATTTTTTTTATTTATATAGTTTTTTTTTTTTAATTTTTAGCATAAAAAAAAAAAAAAATTTGTATACCAGAAGTTAAGGTATGTCCAGGAGTTCGACCACGCCATCTATAAGCTTCTCTGCTTCTTGCTCTTCTACCCCATTCTTTAACTTCACCCCATTGAGTTCTTCTAAACCATTTATAATTTAACTTTAATTTTGGATAAATTTCTTTCAAGAAATCATTTGCCAATTTTTTATCTAACATAAATCTTGACGAAATAATTGTTGGATCTGTCGTACTTAAAATATGATCACTAAATATTTGTTCTCCAATATCTAATTCAAAGATTAGAAAAAAAAAAATTTTTTTGTTCAGTTAAAAATTTTGAACTAATAATTTATAATAAATTATAAAAATTTTTAAAGAAAAAAAACTCACCATCTATATTGATAGTATTTTTGTTCTCTAAATTATCAACTCTTAACATAAAAGATTTTATTGCCATTAATAATGTTGGAGGGTTTGCATAATGTGGATACTGTATTTGAAACTCTTCTGGAACCTAAATAAAAAAAAATTCAAATATTTTATATTAAATAAAAAGTAATAAATGATAAAAAATTCCAAACCTTGCTTCGAGCTTCCTCTCCTAAAATTTGTTCCCTAGCAACCCATCCATCATTATCAATTAAAGAAACCCAATGTTTAATAATATCCAAACTAACAAAAGGAAAAAATTATATTAAACTATAATTTATAAAAAAAAAAGATCATTAAAACTCATCAAACCTCACCTTAAATCATTGTCCCATTTACCAATTAATAATTGATGAAATCCTTCATCCCTAATAATATATAAAATGGAATTTTTCTTCATAAATAGTGATTTCATTGTGGATATAAACATAACAAACGAAATTACCAATAAAATCCACGTGGAAAAAAAGGTCGAGATGGCGTTGCTGTAAATAAAGCTAAAGGTGGTGTTAATCTTGGATCTGCTTCTCGATATTTTGTCCAAAATTCTTCTTCATCTTCATCGCTATCTGTAAATGATCTGTCAACAATGCTTGACCCATAAAAATATCTATTAAAAAAAAAAAAGATCAATTAATAACGGTAATTCTCGATGAATAAAAATATCAATAAAATGAATGAATACCCGATCCCTCCAATCAGATTGCTCATAATAGTTTGTGCGAAATAAATTTGACTATCATTAAATCCTTTTTCCCTCAATCCAAATGTTTTTTCAAATCTTTGATCAAATTCTTGAGATTTGGATTTAAGACCAGACGTAAGACTTTCGGCTAATAAACCAATAATGGAAGATGATGAAAAAAGTTTTAAGTTATTCGAAAAAGTATATATGTTGAAAACATAACAATAATTCTCCTATATATTATTCTTTACTCACAATCAAGATGAATAGGTGATGAATTAGATTGAAAAATTATATCAAACTAAAATAATAACAATAATAATATAAAAAAGTTTCACATGTTAACACGTACACACTATTATATCAAACACTTTTTCAAATAACAAATCTTACTTGAAAAGGTCCTTCAATCATCTTTTGAAAAATAAAAAAATTTGAATTTTCTTTGACTTCATTTTTCAATGCAAATAAATATTTTGGTGGAGGAATAGATTTTGTTTCCGGATTTTTTATTATATTCTGATATTTTGAAATCAAATGACCCTGTAATAATTCTTTTTTTTTTTTAAAAAAAAAAAATCGTATGAATATTTTTTGATATTTGTAAAATAAATATTTTTTTTTCTTGTTATTCATTTACCTTTAGCTCGCCAAATATCTCCATCAGGAACTAAACGTCCCCAATAATGAATTTTTGATAAATCGGCTAATTCTGATGCTTTTGAATGAACATTTGATGGCATCCTATTATTTGGATCTATAAATTTAAAATCTTGATATTAAGTAAGAGATTATTGAAATAAATTTAACAAAATAATTTTACCTTCTTTTAATATAATTGAGAATTGTCCTAAATCTGGAGTTTCTCCTTTAAGTTCGACTTGAGTATCTAAACCCTATACAAAAAAAATTTATGTAAACTAACAATATATATGCTGTATATAATTATAATATAAATATAAATAATATTCACCATTTCATCCAACGGATTAGTCAATTCAATTGAACCATCTCCTTCAAGTCCAAAATAATAAAGAAATGAAATTCCAGAAGGTTCTAAGATTCACGAAAAAATATTAATTTCACGTTCACAGATTCTTTCTTTCCTTAATAAAAAATAATTTTTCTTTACTATTATTATTTATTGGTGTTCCAGATATACGAACTGCCCAATCTCCGCCTAAAATTTATAAATAAAGTTAATAATTTATTATTTTAAAAACAAAAAAGGTCTTTTTTTTAATAATTCATACCGTGACCTCCTCCAGAATTTTTTAATAATTCAGTTTTTAATTTAATATTATTTTTACTATCAGATAATGTTTGTATAGCAAAATTACGACCATCATGTTTTTTAAAACTATATTCATCTAATCCATCTCCCTGATCACATGCATGTCTAATTTCTTAACGGAAAAAACAACCTGTTTTAAGGAATAATAAAATCAAAAAAAAAACCAAAAAAAAAATCAAAATGAAATATTCCTAATTATTTTATTGGATACGACTAAAACTCGACGCATTCTCGATTCCAAACCATATTAACCCTGTTAATAATGATTCGGGTAAACGTGGTCTTGTACCAAAATATAAATTTGGTCGATAGGTTCCCCATAATAATGAATCATTTGAAGCCGCCAATATACTTGTTTTTTGATAATCAACGTATTCAGTTAATGAAATTCGAATAAATAATAAGATATAAATTAAATTAAATATGAACATGATTAATATGAAATTAATTCGAGGAAGAAAAAATTTCCGTCGATCATTTTTTTTTGTACTGTGGATATAGAGGATGTATATCATTTAGCACTAAAAAAGCGTAGCGATTTGCAGATCGACTCTTGCATTTTATTCGCGTGTAAAAATATGCGACTTAAATAAAGCTCTGAACGGATCGATTCAGTCGGTATCTATCCGGTTCAGGTAAACATTTTTTATTAAAAGAAGGCAATTGTTTGATAAAGTCTTTATTGCTATTGACAAAATATTAATGCATCAACAAAATCAAAGAGTCGGGATTCGATCAACATATGTAACGAATCATAAGTCAATACGTCGACTCGAATTATTCGTTTGACTTACAAGTTGATACGTTCTTAAAAAAAAAATAAGAAAGTTACATTAATAATAACAAAGAAACACAAAGAAAAAACTATTCCGTATAAAACTTATTATTAACTCGAGTCTCTAGTTAAAATTTCTAAAGATGAATTAATAAAAACAAAACACAAAAAAAAAAACATTTAAAAGACCCACAACTCAATATAATTTAACGCCTTTTTAAAGTATTAACAAAAAAAAAAAAATTCTTTTTACTTTGTAAACTTATCATAAATAGAATGGAATAAAGTAGTTTCTTCGAAAAATGAATTATTTATTTATTTTTTTCTGTATAAATCTTAAAAAATAAAAATATTTGTATGAATGAGTACCCGATCGGTTGACAATTTTTTTTTTACAGAAGAAAAATGGTCATTATAATTTTAAAAAAAATTCTTTTCAGCATTAGATTTCTTAAAACAAGGTGGATTGAATTGTTTTTTTTTTTTTGCTTTATTTATTTATTTGAATGGCATTTTTTTTTATGATAAAAGTGATAGGAATGACGTTAGGTAGAATTTTATGTCATAATTATTTGATTAAATAAATAATGATTAAAAAGTTTAAAATATAGAGCGTGATAAAAGTACAATGAATATAATTTGCTTGTTAAACTCATACATTGAATATCTTTCTGTATTACGTAAAAAAATGGAAAACACTTAAAGAAATATCTTGATTTAAAGAACTGTCATCATTAATCAAACAGTTTCCTTTGCTTATCACATACACAGTTTACAATATATATTCGTCCTCAGTCCTTCCAGAAATAAGAAATACACTACTTGGACAAAAGTAGCGGGAATTCATCATATTTTATTAATTACTCAAAAACATACATATTAATAATACTTGAAATTTTAATATGTAATAACATAGATAATAAAGAATATATATTCAAAATTTCATAGTTCTAGCCTTCATACAACTATGTTAATTAAAAAAAGAAATTTAGTAATTAGCAACAGTATTATTGTTTTTAAAATTTAATTTTCTTTCAATTTTTTATACAATCCATATAAAAACAAAAACTAGAAAAAAGTAATTTGATGTATATATATTAATTAAGAACCTGTACTGCCACATATTAAAATTTCTGGTATCATTATTATGTATAATTCCAAATAAACTGACAGTATCAGACTATTTGTTTATTTTTATTATATAATATATAGATAATTATTAAAATTTCTTTCTGAGTTTTCTTTAATTAATGTAGTTGTATGAATGCTAGAATAATGAAATTTTGAATATATATTCTGCATTGTCTACGTCATCACATATAAAAATTTCAGGTATTATTATTATGTACATTTTCAAGTAATTAATAAATACGAATTCCCGTTACTTTTGTCCAAGTAGTGTATATGCAATATCAAAAAAATTTCAGTAGACTGTAACCATCCTTAACGTGTGTTCATTATTGGATCATGTAGGAAATTGTTTACTGATCTTTGAGGCGTTTCGTTTCTCAAAGTGGTAAAATCAGTTCGATAAGGTCGATACTGAGGCGAAATTGTGATATTCTTCGATCATGTAAAATAATAAATTGATCGAAGTCATATCATTTGTTTAAAAATAGAATAAATTTTCATAAATTAAAAATAAATAAACTCAGTATTTTATTTCAATAATACTCTTTGATCATAATTCAAATTTTCAATACCTTAAAAAAATTTCTTTCTTTTTATTTTCATTGTATATAATTAATATCATTACTATAAAATTCATAAAGATTTAAATTGTTATTTCTACGTAAATTAATATTTGGTTTAGCCAATAAGGAGTTTTTAGGCTCAGTACATCATGCATTATATATGTCGCTGACTTTTGAAAATGTCATTAGCAACTTATAAATATTTATGATGTAAAGTACACCCTTCTAAATCAGTGTTCGGAAATGACCTGGTCATTTGACTTGTCATTATTCATAATCATTTGTCATTTGGTCATTTCAATCATTTGATATTGATTGGCTAATATTTATCACATAAATAATCATGTGACTATAATTAAAAAATAAAAAATGTAGTGTAGGCAAAAATTATAGTGCTGGCCAAAATTACATTCAAATGACTAAGGTCATTTGTCATTTGAGCATTGAAATGACATGTCATTTGTCATTTGTCATTTGAATCATTTGGTCATTTCAAGTCATTTGCCGAACACTGTTCTAAATAACATATGTAAAATCAGCATTGTATATAGCAAACTCCCTATGGTTAGTATTGGTAGTACCACTTTCGCCGGCGTATATCTATCTGGGTAAATTATATCCCGATTAAATTTCGGAAAAAACGTCACATATAGTTAGTAATTCAAAAAAGGTTTCTTTGAAATAATAATAAATATGCAAAAAAATAAAGATTATCCATTGATAATGCATTAAGACAATTAATAATCTATCAACTATTTATCACACTAATACATAATTTTAAACAATATGGTATGTGACAATTAATGCAGTGAACTTTTATTTTTTTCACACGACCCATAAAATCATTATCATTTTGAAGTTTTCTTAAATAAAAAATTTGAATGAATGAATAAAATCATTCTACTGATAAAACATGTATAATTGTTGTGTTGTTGTTGGTATTGGTAAGAATATATTTATTTATGTCTATTTTGTTATTATTTGACTGATAAATTTTTCACAATAAAATTTAGAATTTGGAACCACGCATTCTGTATGTAAATTTTTTCTGTTATATTTTTACTCTCTTAAATACTTTACTCTCAAAAATTTATAATTTATTCTTATTTTAAGGGGTTTGGATATGCACATACGGCAAACAAAGATGTGCACGTTAATTGTGATTGGCCGGATTGTTCCGGTAAATTTAAAGTTCCAACAGTATTGTCATATGATGATGAATATAAGAATGTGCGATCATGGGGATATGAAGCATTAGCGGAAAAGCCGATAAGAAAAGTTAAAATTAAAAGTCCCATAAGAAAGCCTGTTGAATTATTTAAGTTACTTTTAGGAAAAATGAAAAATGAACCTCCTTTAACCCATGAAAAGGCTATTTCTGATTATCTCCATGGATTAGGCAGCGTTGTAAAAAAAGAAATATATGTAGATTTACATGAAGATGTTCTTATTATCTTAACGGTAAATAATTTTAATATTTTATGAATTTACTGTGAAATTTGATTATAAAGTAGTTTTTTTAAAAATAAATAAATAAATAAATAAAGGTTCCTGATAATTATAAAATTTCGATTTGGACTATGAGAGAATGTGCTTTTAAAGCAGGATTATTGAATGATCGATATAGTCAGAACTTGAAAGTTATAACAGAATGTATGTATTATGTAATGATATTATTATGTGATAATTACATATTTCTCATAACAGATTTCATTTTTTAAAAGCCGAAGCTACTGCTCTTTTTTGTATGGAAAATTTGAAGACACATAATATATCAGTTGGAGGTAAATTAAAAGTCCACATAACTTTTAAATAATGCAAAAATTATTCTAATCACATTTTATTTTATTAGAAAAATTTATTGTAGTTGAATGTGGTGATGATAAAGTAAATTTAACAACAAGGATGCTTTTGATAGATGAAATACTGAGTGTAATATTAGAAAAAGCTGAAGATAATTGTGGTGGCAGTTTTGTATATCAAGAATTTCTAAAATTTATAGAACATAAAATTGGTTCATCTGCAATTAATCTTTTTTCTAAAAGACATAAACCACAACTACAATATTTGCAAAGTGTTTTTGAACGTGAATTTTTAATTCCATTTACTGGAGATCAATCCAAATTTACTATTTCTTCACTTGATTTGGAAGGTAGAGTATTTCCTTAAAAAAAAAAAATAATTTGTTCAATCCAAATTATTTGGACTAGCTACTTACTGTGCATTATATATTTTATAATATATTTTTTAGAATATTGTTCAGATTTAATGCAATATTGTAAAGGAAAATATCGCGATAATATGATTAAAAATGAATGGGTTATCGAATTAAAGTTAGATGATGTTAAAGCAATGTTAGATCCCATTATAGAAAAGATTATACAACTAATTTATTCCCAATTAAATTTATGTAATAATGATTGTTTTGCTTTAATATTTGTTGGCAAATTTGCAAACTCAGGATATTTACAGTTAAGGATTAAAGAAACATTTTGTAGAAGAGTGCAACATATTTTTCATATACCACAAAATGAAGTACCTATAATAAAAGGGGGTAAGTACATAAAAACCTTTTTTTTTAATCAAAACTCATAATGCTAAAATTTTACTCTTTTGTTAGCTGTTCAATATGGTTTAGATTTAACCTATGGTGAGATTTATTTATTTATTCGTTCACTTTAAAAAAGAAATTTTGGGAACACTTTTCTTTAATAAAAATCCTTTTAAATAATAATGATTAATTCAGATAATACGAATATTAGTTATAAACAGTTTCAAATATTATCAACAACTATTAAAAAATTGGAAGAAGAAAACAATGATTTAACAAACAAGTACAATGAAAAAGCAAACCAACATCAAATAATTGTTGAAAATTTAAAAACTGAAATTAAAGAAATCGAAGAAAAACATTCGGAGAATATTCAACACTTAGAAAATCAGATTAATGATATTAATCAACAATATCAAAACAAAATCAAGTTGCAAGAACAAAGAGAAAGTCAAATGCAAAATAAACTTCCAGAAGAAATTCAAGCATCAAATAATGATTTTAATAAATACAAATCATTGTATGATAACTTACAAAAAAAATATGATGATTTAACGAACAAATACAATGAAGAGACAAACCAGCATCAAATAATTACTGAAAATTTTAAAATTGAAATTAAAGGAATTGAAGATAAATATTTAAAGTATATTCAGAAATTAGAAAATGAGAATAAGGATATAATTCAACATCAAAATAAGAACAAGTTGCAAGAACAAGAAATTGATCAATTACAACAATCTTTAAAATTGAAAGAAATTCAATTACAAAGTTTAGAAAAGGAAAAGAAAGAATTAGATGCTGAAAATGATTACTTATATCAAAGGAATACCAATTTGATAAACCAGTTAGAAAGTACTTCATTCGAAGATGAATTATCAAATTATAGATTAGAAGATGTTGCTCAGAATTATGGTATGGAGTTAAATAATGATATCTCGAAATTAAACGACAATTTAAAGAAATATATCACAAATTTAAAACAAGATGTTATTGTTAATGTAGAAGAAATCAGAAAACTTTTATTGCTTTATAAATGCCCAGTTAAAATTACAAATCAAAAGGATGATTTGTTACTTATTCAAGCAGTTTTGCAACGTCACATTATAGAAACAATATTCTCTTATGCGACAAAGTATTTTCAAAGTACAGGACAACATTATCATCTTGAATCAGATATTATTAATCAAGCATCTTTGTTATCCACATTATTAACTGATGCTTCTAAATATCGTACTGGAAATGATGGAATAATGCATATCGCATCAACAAAATTGCGTAAACAAATCTATTCGATTCTTAATAATTGTGGATTTTCTGATATACATGGAAAAAGTAAAACTACATATGAGCATCCTTTCATTACTTTTTATAAAGAAAAATTAAGTAAAACTATGAATGAATTACGTACTATCAAAGATCAAGAGAAAATTACAGTTGAAAACTTAGCAGCAACTATAATTCGTGAGGTTATAAAGATATTTTGGTTTAGACTAAAAATTCACGAATCTGTTGTACAATATGTTTGGATTCCATATAATGCCAAAGTAAATGAAACATTTATGAAAGGAGAAAATATTGATGATAATGACAACGAAAATTTGTATGTTGATTTATGTTATTTTCCCTTAATTGGAAGAGATTTAACATCAGATAATCATGAAGTTTATGTTCCTGCAAAAGTCTTCGTACGAAAAACCAACGACAAATTCAATAATATTAAATAAATTTAGATGAGTCTATTTAGTTTAAATAGGATAAATCAATTTTATAAATTCATAGATAGTTAAATATAGTCAATATTTTACATTTATAATAAAATGGTGTTTAGAAAAAATTGAATATTTCAGTCATTATGTAAAGTCTAATAATTGTAAAATTAAGTAAAATATTGATATATTAAAGAACAGGTATTTTGATATAAAATGCTAAAATTTGGTTGGCTTACTGATTGTCAAGACTCAAGACGGTTAATTTCAAAAATCATGATGTCGATCATCAATAGTTATAGAATTTTCATGATTCCAGCCAAATTTTTATATGGTGTTATAAATTTAGATTCTCTATACACTATGAATCATTAATTGGCTTGAAATTTAAGAAATTGTCAACTACAATTTTTTTTAAAACCATGCTGTAAATATACTTCCGTCCAAAGATTCTCAAACGCTTTACACAATGCGTCTTAATTGAGAAAAAGAGTTTGCCATCGTTAAAATTCTAAATTAATGATTTTTTTTAATATTCATATAACAAACGTTCTAGTGTTAAATAATGAATCTGGTAATCTTCCATGTTTTAAAGTTCATAGAGTCATAGACGGACCAGTCCTAGAGATTTTAAATTTAAAGTTAACAGAAACATTCCGTTAAAATATTGTGCTTCTTTAAAAATAGTATTTTAATGTTAAGTGCTAAAGTCATTAATATATTTACTGGAACAGATAAATATTAATATTTTAAAATAATAAAAAGGTATTAATATTATGGCAATACTCTTTATTTTAACTCCAAGCTAAACAACATCAATTATTAGAAATTATAAGAATTATAAAAAATTTCTATTGACCAAACATTGAATTAATTAGTAAGATCCAATAAAAACACCGATAATTTACCCAAATAATGAATGTAGTTTTCTTCAGAGTGCGTCTGCTATTTTAACCACACCTAAATTACATAATAAAAAATTTTGGTATTTTTAAAAAACGATATTAATGCGACATTTTACCGTACGACATTTATAACATTAAATAACACATATTTTTTTCTTTATCAGAATACTAGCGACTCACACCAGGATCAATGAACTTAACCATATAGTAAATTGTGTACAAATTCTGGATCATGAATAAAATTATTTAAATTTATTATAATTCAGTATGATATCATGATATCGTCAGTAAAAATGATCAACATTCATGATAGAATAACGTGATCAAATCATTCAGCGAAAAAATCGTAACATAGCCAACGAAATTGATCGACGTTCATTGCATCAATCTACCGATCAACCATAACATGATTAACATGACATAATTCTTCCGTAATAATTTGACGAAGACGTGTTATATTTTGAACAATTCAAATCAATTTATCTAAATTTCACCAAATTTTTTTTAATCACCGTATTATTTATCACATATATGTATAATTTAAATAAACTATCGTACAATACGGTATGTGATAATTAATGCAGTGATTTTTTTTTCACACCATCCATAAATAAATCAAAAAAAGAAAGATCATCATTTTAAGGTTTTCTAGAAAAATTTTTTTTTTTTAAAAAAAAACGAATAAATAATTTATAATTCTTATTATTATACTACTTTTCTGCCAAAATATGTATGATTGTCGTGTTATAGTTGGTATCGGTAAGTTAATACATTTATTTGTGTCTATTTATTTATTATGGTATTATTTGACATAAAATTTTTCATAATGAACTTTAGAATTCGGAGCCACACATTCTGTATAATTTATTTTATTTGTCATAATTTTACTCTTTCAAATTTACTCTCTCTCAAATTCTTAAATTTTTTTTTCTTATTTTAAGGGGTTTGGATATGCAAATATATCTTCAACGGAAGACATTTCTTTTTATAATCAGTGGAGCGAACGTCTGAGAACCATTAGAGTCCCAACAGTATTATCATACGATGATGAATATGAAAATGTGCAATCATGGGGATATCCAGCGTTAGAAAGTAGTCATGTTGAATTATTTAAATTTCTTTTAGGAGAAATGGAAAATAAACCTCCTTTACCCCGTGAAAAGGCTATTTCTGATTATCTCCATGAATTGAGCAAAATCGTGAAAGAAAAGATATGTAGGCGTTGGGAATCAATAGATTTTTATAATCAAGTTCTTATTATCTTAACGGTAAATAATTTTCAATATTTTGTGAATTTTGCTTTAAAATTTGATTATAAAACAATTTTTTTTTTTTAAAAAAAAAACAGATTCCGGATAATTATAAAATCTCAACTTGGGATATGAGAGAATATGCTTTTAAAGCAGGATTATTGAATGATTGTTATAGTCAGAACTTTAAACTTATAACAGAATGTATGTATTATAAAGTGTATTTATTATTTTATAATTACGTGTTTGATATTTATGAAATATTTCATTTTTTAAAAGCTGAAGCTACTGCCCTTTTTTGTATTAAATATTTGAGGAAGTGTAATTTATCAGCTGGAGGTAAGTAAAGATGGAGTACAAATAATTTTTAAATAATTTAGAATTTATTCTAATAATATTTTATTTTGTTAGAAAAATTTATGGTAGTAGAATGTGGTGATAGTACAATAAATTTAACAACAAGGATGCTATTAATAGATGAAAAATTAAGTGTAGTATTGGAACAAATTGAAGATAATTGTGCCGTAGAACAAGAATTACTTAAATTTTTAGAACAAAAAATTGGATCATCTGCGGTTAGTCTTCTTAGAAAGCATCAGCCACAACAACTCCAATATTTACAAAGTGCTATTAAATCTTTCTTGACGGAATTTACCGGAACTCAATCAGAATCTAGTCTTATTGAATTTGATTTGAAAGGTAATATATTGACGAGTTATTTTCTTAAAAAGAAAAATAATAAATTTATGATATGTATAATTTTTTTTATAGAACATTGTCCTTCTATAACAGAATATTGTGAAGGAGAATATCATGATAATATGGTTAGAGATGATTGGCGTATCAAATTAGAATTTGAAGATGTTAAAGCAATGGTTGATCCTGTTATAGAAAGGACTATACAACTAATTGATTCTCAATTACACTTACGTAATAATGATTGTTTTGCTTTATCATTGGTTGGTAAATTTGCAAAATCAATTTATTTTCAATTAAGAATTGGAGAAACATTTAATAAAAGAGTTCAATTTATTTCTGTACCACTTCATCCCGAAAGTGCTATAATGAGAGGAGGTAAGAAACATAAAAAACTTTTTCTTTTTTTTTTATCATAAATTATATATGACGTTAAAATTTTACTTTTTTATTAGCTGTTCTATATGGTCAGAATTATGGTAAGAATTTTATTTATTTTAATAATTTTATTTTTTAAAAAAGAAATTCTAAGAGTATTTTTTTTTAAAATCCTTCTAAATAACGTTAATTCAGTTAATATGAGTGACAATGATAATATTATTGAGAATATACAGTTTCATTTATCACAAACTATTAAAAGACTTGATGAAGAAAAGAAAAAACTTCAAGAAGATTATAATGATTTAACAAACAAATACAATGAAGAGGCGAATCAACATCAAATAACTGTTGAAAATTTAAAAAATGATATTGAAGGATTGGAAACCCATATTGAAGATATTAATCAACTACATCAAACCAGAATTAAGTTACAAGAACAAAGAGAAAGTCAAATGCAAAATAAACTTCAAGATGAAATTCAAACATTAAATAATAATCTTAATAAATACAAATCGTTATATGAAAACTTGCAAGAAAAATATGATGATTTAACAAACAAATATAATGAGGAGGCAAATCATCATCAAATAATTGTTAAAAATCTAGAAAGTAACATCAAAGGATTAGAAAATCAGATTGATGATATTAATCAACAATATCAAACCAAAATTAAATTTCAAGAACAAAGAGAAAGTCAAATGCAAAATAAACTTCAAGATGAAATTCAAACATTAAATAATAATCTGAATGAATACAAATTGTTATATGGAAACTTGCAAGAAAAACATGGTGATTTAACAAACAAATACAATGAGGATGCAAATCAACATCAAATAATTGTTGAAAAACTTAAAAGTGATATCAAAGATACTGAAGAAAAATATTTAAAGAATATTCAAGAATTAGAAAATCAGATTAATGATATTAATCAACAATATCAAAACAAAATCAAGTTGCAAGAACAAAGAGAAAGTCAAATGCAAAATAAACTTCAAGAAGAAATTCAAACATTAAATAATAATTTTAATGACCATAAACTATTATATAATGATTTGCAAGAAAATTATAATGATTTAACAAACAAATACAGTAAAGAGGCAAATCAACATCAGATAATTGTTGAAAATTTAAATAATGATATCAAGAAATTGGAAAACCAGATTGAAGATATTAATCAACAATATCAAAACAAAATTAAGTTGCAAGAACAAAGAGAAAGCCAAATGCAAAATAAACTTCAAGAAGAAATTCAAACATTAAATAATAATTTTAATAAATACAAATTATTGCATGATAACTTACAAGAAAAATATGATGAATTAACAAACAAATGCAATGAAGAGACAATCCAGCATCAAATGATTGTTGAAAATTTAAAAAGTGATATCAAAAATATTGAGGATAAATATTTAGTAAATATTAAACAATTAGAAAATAAAATGAGCGATATTGATCAGCAACAACAAAGCAAAATAAAGTTGCAAGAACAACAAATTGATCAATTACAGCAATCTTTGGAATTGAAAGAAATTCAATTACAAAGTCTAGAAAAAGACTTAGGTGCCATTAATAATAGTTTATATCAAAAAAATATATTTAAAGATGAATTATTAAACTATCAATTAGATGATGTTGGTCAAAATTATATTATAAATCTTAATAATGATATTTCAAAATTAAATAATAATTTAAAGAAATATATAACAGATTTAGATCAAGATGTTATTGTTAATATAGAAGAGATCAAAAAACTTTTATTGCTTTACAAATGTCCAGTTAAAATTACAAATCAAAAGGATAATTTGTTACTTATTCAAGCAGTTTTGCAACGTCACATTATAGAAACAATATTCTCTTATGCAACAAAGTATTTTCAAAGTACAGGACAACATTATCATCTTGAATCAAACATTATTAATCAAGCATCTTCATTATCCACATTATTAACTGATGCCTCTAAATATCGTACTGGCAATAATGAAATAATGCGTATAGCATCAACAAAATTGCGTAAACAAATCTATTTGATTCTTAATAATTGTGGATTTTCTGATATGTATGGAAAAAATAATGCTAAATATGAGCATCCTTTCATTACTTTTTATAAAGAAAAATTAAACAAAACTATAAATGAATTACGTACTATCAAAGATCAAGAGAAAATTACAGTTGATCACTTGGCAGCAACTATAATTCGTGAGGTTATAAAGATATTTTGGTTTAGACTAAAAATTCATGAATCTGTTGCACAATATGTTTGGATCCCATTTAATGCCAAAGTAGATGAAATATTTATGGAAGGAGAAAATTTTGATGATAGTGACAATGAAAATTTGTATGTAGATTTATGTTATTTTCCATTAATTGGAAAAGATTTAACATCAAATAATCATGAAGTTTATGTTCCTGCAAAAGTATTTGTACGAAAAAATCAATAACAAATTCAATAAGACTAAATAAAATTTAAATGGTCTATTATTTGAAGTAGGATAGATCAGTTTTATAAATTCCATAAAATTATATAGTAATTTTTGAACTTAATTCCAAATAAAAAATATAAAAAATAATTGACTATATTTTCTTTTTATCGTTTAGCCCAATAAGATCATGCAGATTTTCATAGACTGATATTTTTAGGCATAGTAATAATATATGATTGATATAATAAAGTGGTGTAAGTGAATGTTTTATGGAAAAAGCTTAAGTAAGTAAAGCTTGTAAAGTGTATTAAAAATAGCATAAAATGCAATCTAAATGAAGCTTACATGTAATGAATATATATTTATAATAAAACAATAAATAAGTATACTTCTGTCTAATATTGCTCAATACGTCCATTTTTTTCATATATCTAAACTTTGATAAAGAGTTTATTATCATTTAAATTCTAAACTAATGATTTTTCCTAAATATTCATATTACAATCGTTCTAATTGTTAACCAGAATTAGAGATTTTAAATTTAAAATTTCAGATACAATCCATTAAAGTAAAGTGGCACTTCTCTTTAAGGTATTATTTTAATATTAAGTAATAAAATAGATTCTATTCTTGAAAATGCAACAAATTTAGTGCTAGGTAATTGATTTTCAATTTTCTTTATTCTGAATTTCTGATATAAAATAAAATAATAAACTTTATAACTTTAGGTTTAAATGGCTGGACAAATCCCGCAGGCCATTCTATTTATAATTTTATAGTAATGACTTACGATCATCAAGAATTTTAGTATAAACTTCAGGATCTTTCAATTGTAAGACATATGGCTGAAAATTTAGCAGAGGAAATTGAAACTGTGCTTAAAAAAATCGGACCTGACAAGTTTGCTGCTGTTGTCACTGATAATGCTGCCAATTGTTCTGCTGCCAGGAACATTATTAGTGAAAAATATACTTTTATTTTCAATATTCGTTGTATTGTACATTGCGTTAATCTAATCACTAAAGATGTGCTTGGTATGTTCATTGTTGTTAAATTTTTATTTTAAAATACTCACATATTATTTAAAACAGAGCATGATTTTCCAAAACGAATTCTATAAACATGTAATGAAGTAGTGAAGTTTTTTAAAAAATCACATCAAGGGAAAGCACTTTTAGAAAAATATATCGAAGAATTCAACATCGAAGGCGGAGGACTCAAAACCTGGATTGAAACATGCTGGATAACAATGTTTGACTCTATTAATTCTATTTGGCATTTAAGATCAGCATTAGAAAAGGTTCTTATAGACTCTATTGATTTATAAGAAAATTAAAAAAGAATTCCTAATAATTTCATAAATAATGATTTAATAGGTTGTAAATGAACATGGCAGCATTGTTAATAATAAAACTGTAATAAAAATCATTACAGCTTGAGGATTTTTCCATGATACTAACTTGGTATTAAAGGTGCTAAGAAGGCAATTTTATCTGTTAAAGCTTCTAATACCAATTATGCCGATTGTTTTATTGCCTTGGTTCGCCTAGCAGATGCTATTAAGAAAATTTCAATTGAACGGGGCTTAATTAGTTTCCATCTGCATGCTAAAATTTCTGCTGCACCAACGAAAAAATTTTGTGATGAAAAATTCAAGAAACCAAAATTTCCAAGCTATGCAAAAAACTTCTTCACTATCCAAAGGTCAGTTTTATTTTAATTTTTCAAGCTTCTATTATCGCATACTGACAAAACTTTATTTGGAGCAACACCTAGCTCTCCCTGGCTTTTTTTGGGTCACTACCATTGATTTGACAGTGAGAAATAAATTTTTGGTCAAAAACTTTTAAAACTTTCTAACAAACTCATTCTAAACCTCATAACAAAATGTTCAGAAAAGACTGAATAAACAGAAATGTGTATAATAATAAATTTCCCTATTAAAGCACTTTTGAACTCTTCCGCCTTTTTCTTTCGTCCTAAAATTTTTGGTCTGAATAATCGGAAGGAAGAGTTCCCATATAATATATGATATTGCCTCGATACAAATATTAATTACATATTTACTAAAATTTAACAATGTAGTTTTACGAGATATTTACAATATATAGTATTTATTAAATTTTATAATTATTTTTATACAATACATTTTACTAAATTTTATTGATATGGTTAAGAAGTTTAACAATTTTTTATAAATTTGTGACGATTTTATTGGATTGATTGAAAAATTGATCTGTGATCGCAGTAAACTGCGTGTAGACGATTATCTACCAGATTGTTAAAAAGTTAATATATACTAACATATATTTGTCGATAATCTGATTGTTGATAAATTGAATCAAATAATCAGATTTAGTAAAAGAGGATAAAAAAAAACAATTGTAAAAAAGGTAAATAATAAATCGCCAATTACTCACGGCCAATAAACATAAAATTTGTAGTAAAAATATAAACCGCTTTATAAATATACATTTGCCAATTATTATGAAGTATTGTTGGATTTGCTAACAACATTTAAGTCTTACCATTGCATTAGAATCACGGATTTCAAATAATTTGGATATTGAAAGTCTTTTTTTGAAATTTACTTTTTTTTCAGGGTAGAGTTTAATTTTCCCCCCTCTATAATATAATATATATAGTAATACTTTTTTCCTATTTGCTTTTTTTTCATTCTTTCGCCTTTTAAGTTTAGAAAGTATTGACGATATAAAGAATAAAAAAAATAGATTTATTATTTATAAAGGTTTACCCTATTTATGTATTTGATATTAAGTTGACATAATTTAAAATTTAAATTATATTGTTCTTTTTTATTATTAGTTATTATAATTTATTTTATTTAATATATTTTCCTAATTAATGCAATAGGTTACAGATAATTTGCTATTAATTTTATTACATGTAGAATAAAATAAAATTTATTATAAAGATATTTGGCATTATTCGTGTAAAAAAAAGCTTGACTTCGATAAGATTCTTCTATATTAAATGAAAAAATTTCTTGATAAATAATAAAAATTTTATTAAATGACTTTTGATTAAAAAGTTGTAAATTATGAAAAAATTTCATTTTTTTTTTGAACCAATTACTTCCTTTAAATGACAAAAAAAAAATAAATAAATAAATTTAGTTTATGTAAGAATAGTGTAAAATTGTATATGCAAGTTTCTCATATCGTTTGTTACATTTATTGGATTTTTTTTCCTGAAATTTTCTTTTATAAGGAATACATCTTTTAATTATAATAAGTTTTTATGAAAAATTCTCTTATTTTAACTCTCGTACAATATAATTCAAACATAATTATATGACTAATTTATTTAAGAAATATTTTAATGATGTAATAGATTTTCATTTAGACGTGTACATAATACTTACGTTACGCTTGTTTGTGCATTCGTTCCTCTAAATATTTTATTTTTCCTTTTACTTGAAAAAATATTTATATCAAAGAAAATTTTAGTCATTTCGCATAAAGTTTTGCAAGATTGAATATTTAATATCACGTGATTTATGTATGGTGTGCATCAATTCTTGATTGGTATAATTTGTAACCTTAGTGGGGAGCACAGAGACATAACATTCTTGCACTACGTTACGTCGTTACGTCATTACGATGAATTTAAAAATCATAGGCTCATTCAAATTAAGAAGTTCATAACTTTAACATTTTTACCTTAAAATTCATTTTTTTATAATTTTCCTTTTATTATTAAACTTTAAGCACAAACTGAATCAAAGTTCTGTATCGATGTCTAATAATACTGAATTTAATTCAAATGAGTGGATTGATTGGATTGAAGAAGCTATTGCAAAGAAACACATTAAATATTACGATTACAAACATTTTAATAATATTCAAGAAATTGGTTCTGGAGGTTTTGGAAAAGTATATCGTGCTAACTGGAAAAGTTTTCACAATCATTTAGCATTAAAATCTTTCTTTAATATCAATAATGCCACAGTTAAAGAAATTGTTAATGAAGTAATTATAATTACATATTAACATTTTATCATTTTTTTTTGTTCTTCTATCTTTAATTATATATTACGTTCCTAACTTGAACTTTTATTTCAATATTAGATTAATCTTCAACGCAAAGTAGATTTTCATGAAAACATTATTCGTTTTTGTGGCATTACAACAGGTATGATATATAATTTGAATTATTGTTATCTTTTTTTTTTGCAGAAAAAAAAAAAATCTAAATAATTTTTCTTTTGTTTTTTCTCAAAAGCAAATCAAGACAATAATTCAAAAAAATATTTAATGGTTATGGAATATGCTGATAGTGGTACTCTCCGAAATTATTTAAGTGAACGTTTTGATAATCTCACTTGGAACAATAAATTGGAACTAGCATTTCAATTAGCTAATGCTATATCATGCTTACATGATAAAGATATCGTTCATTGTGATTTGGTGAGTTATTTACTTCAGTTATTTACACTTTAACAAATTATATTGTATAATTATGCTAATTTAGTTATTGCGTTTAATAATAGCATTCAAATAATATATTAGTCCATAAGAATACCATTAAATTAGCAGATTTTGGATTGTCAAAAAGGATTGAAGAATCATCCAACGTTCAATCAAAATTATTTGGAATGGTTGCTTATGTTGATCCACAAGTATTTAATACAAAAAGGGATAATAACAATCAAATACAAGTATATAATAAAAAGAGTGACATCTACAGTATCGGCATACTCTTGTGGGAAATTTCTAGTGGACGGCCACCTTTTCATAATGAATCACATGATGTTGGTTTAGCTATGAAAATTTTACAAGGTCTTAGAGAAAAACCTATTTCTAATACACCTGTAGATTACATAAAAATATACACTGGTAAGCACAATTAAATTTATTATATTAATAATGACAATATTTGATTAATTATAAGCTTATTTATATCAGATTGCTGGAATAATGAACCAGATAATCGTCCAACTGTCAACCAGGTTATTGCAAAATTAAATGTTCAATTATCAAGTGAACAGAAGAGTAATGATGAAGTTCCCAAAAATATTATTGATAGTTCATTATACGGAGAAATGTCTCAAATCATTGAAAATTTTAATAAAATGAGTATAAAAGAAATAGAACCTTCAATGTCATTGAATAATAACTTTGACATAATGGTTAATGTTAATGAAATAATACTCCTTCTTGATAATATAGATAATATAGAAATTGTATATAAAAAACATAAAGTCATTAATTATCTTAATAATCATAATATAACTTCACAAGAAATTTATGCTTGGTTATTAAATAATCAAAATGCTTCAGATTCTATGTTTTTACTTGGAGTATTTAATCATTTTGGAATTGAAGTCAAGGTTGACAAACAAAAAGCATTTGAATTATATCAAAATGCGGCAAACTCTGGAAATGTATATGGAATAACTAGTTTAGGATTTTGTTATGATGAAGGAATTGGAATCAGTGCTGACGAGCAAAAAGACATTTGAACTATATCAAGAAGCTGCAAATTTAGGAAATCCACGTGGAATGTGTAGTTTAGGAAATTGTTATCAATATGGAATTGGAACTAATACTAATGAACAAAAGGCATTTAAATTATATCAAAAGGCTGCAAATTTAGGAGATAGTATAGCTCAATATTATCTTGCTTCAATGTTTGAATATGGAATTGGAATTGAAAAGAATATAAATCAAGCAACATATTGGTATAAAAAATCTGCCGAGCAAGGAGATCAAGATGCTCAAGAAAAATTAAATGAATTGAATTATATTATTACGGGATAAAAGTGTGTGGTTTGCCAACTCATAACTCTCTAAAATTCAAAAAAATTCATAGTACTTCAAAACTAAGATTTCAAAACTATAAATCGGAATCTCACATATCTTAAAATACCATAATTCTTGTATTTGATAATTGTGAAATACATAAATCTATTCCCGAAAATTTTAATATTTCACTACAAAATTTTATAACATCAAAATAATGTAATAATTTATATTTTTTTTCTTAGAATATTTACTTCCAAGTCTTACAATATTGTCATATATGATTAAATTATAGTATAAATTCTATATTATGTTGCATTTTTTTTTGTTAGTAACACGAATTTCTCTATTAGGCTTTGTAAAAACATATTACAAAAGCGAAACGCGCCTATCTAATAAAATTGTTAAAACTAACGTGTCAACTAAACTGATTTTAATTAGATAAGGGGCGTATTTCTAATTTTATTTATCCACTTATTTTCATGCACAGTAAAGTGTCAATACGTTAAGCAAATATCTAAATCATCACGTCAGATGACTATCTCGCAGTATAGTATAATCTGGTAAATCATCAATTGACTCAAGTTAATAAAAGCTAGATTCATGCATGTCAATTTGATCAAAGGTTTCCGGTGTTTTTCTCCAACTCTATAAAAAATTTATTCCATGCTTTTATTCCATGTTATTTCCGTAAATGTATAATATTCACGGAATTTTAAATATGGCCTCAAACATGAGTGGAAATTAACCAATTTGCTAGATATTTAGTTATTTTCCATAAGTGTATGAAGTTTTTACAGAAATTACGGACAAAATTTTTTTACAGAACAGGGATCACATTACATTTTATACAGGGCACAACACTTTATTTACCAAACTTATACTAACAACATAGAGAATTTTTGAATTAGAATAAGTCATTACTATATGATGGAGGCATTCTAAAAAGTTATTCTATAAAAAAAGCCTTTAAATTTCCATAAAAATATTGACATTAAATTATTTTTAATGTAATTTAATATTTCTGGTAGGATAATAGAAATAATATTTATCAGGAAATCTACAAAGTTCAATAGAGCGAATTTTAAAAAGCGTCAATTTGTGCTATTTTCATAAAAGATAGATTTTACATTTTAACAAATACATTTTAACAATGTCTCATCTAATTCCATGATTTATTTATCAGAATTATTAGAAGAAATAGATAAGGATTTTTTTTTTATATTTATACTGTATTGGTCAATATGTCAATATATATGAAATATAATTTGTCTGGTATAAATTTATTTTCATTTTTTTTTTAATAATGCTAACTTTTAGAGAGTTAAAAAAAGGTTTAGTACCTTAATTAAATTAGTTAAATTAAGTAAAGTTTCGTAAGAAATAACAGAAATATTAGCCCTGTTCATTTCCGGTCAGTCACATTTTTCGGTCAGATTTAATTTTGATTGGGCTGATCAGTTTGTATTTCTGAACTTTTAGCCCAATTTTTTGGGGGGTTTTTTGGTCGAACGCCAACCAAAATTAGATAATTTCTGTTTACGTGACATTTAAGAAAAATATATATATCAAATATAAGGAGTTCGAACTAAATTTCAATCTAAAGCAGTTCAATTTGCGATCGAAAATAAAAAAATTTTTATTGGATAATTTTTGTACAACAAAATCAGACAGAAAAATGCAACCGACCGGAAATGAACAGGGCTATTTTAGATTCAATTTTAAAAAAACTGGACAGAACTCAAAAACTCCTAATTATACAGTAAATTCAAACCCAATTTATACCGGGTTTTATGAGTTTCAATTTTCTTGTTACTTTTTTTGACAGTAGAATAAGTTTCGGAAAAAGACTGATATACTTGTTATGCTTCTATACTTACTTACAGCTTATTTCGACTTAGCGTCAGACCCGTAATAATGCTTAAGCTTTAAACGTTTAATCTTTTATGTTTTTTACCGTTATAATTATAATAATTTGAAATCAAACTAAATTTTTATGATGTCTGTCTTTCTAAATATAAATAGCGAACATACAAATTTAAAATTCGAATGAAGAGTTTCACATACTACACTTGCAACGGAACCCAAAAGTCGTCTCGAGAATTGACGATTTTCTTAGTACTACCTGGAGATTTTACAGTACTGTAACCCTATTTATAATTTTTTTTAAATAATACTGGATGCTGCGGATTTTGGTAAGTAGTCATATGATTTTTCTGTCTCCCTTTTTTTATTACTGATATCGGTCAGGGACCCGTGAACGATACCAAAATAACCTAGGTGATAAATCAGCAGGTACGCTAAAATAGAAAAAAATAATTCATGTTGATGTGCTGCGGAAAATAGTGATGATCATCATGTGATAAGGATCTGTATAATAAGGAACCAATAAGAAATTTAAACGTTGCATAAATACTTGTGCGACGAAACGAAGTTGTCGCCCAAACCCTTTTTTTCTTCTTTCCTTTTTGCTTAACGTAATGGCATTTTCAAAGATTTTACCAGAATTATTAGGTGAAATTTTACAATATTTTCGTCAAGATTATAGAATACTATATTCATGTATATTGGTTAATAGATTATGGTGTAATTAAGCAATTCCATTATTATGGGAAAATCCATTTTCATTTATGCGTCCTAAAAATCTTCACTTTATTGAAATTTATTTATATGATTTAAATGATGATGAGAAAACAAAATTAATTAAATATAGAATGGATAAAAATTTATTTCCTTCAAATACATTATTTAAATATTCTAGTTTTATTAAACATTTGAATATAAATAAAATTAGTAAATCTATTGAAGATTGGGATAGAACTTTAGCAACTAAAAATTTTCGAAAGTCAAACTTTACAAAATTAATTTGTAGATCATTAATACAACTATTCATTGAAAATGTAGAAAATTTACATAGTTTGCATGTTTAATATGGTAGTTTTGATGATATTATTGAATTGATTTTACAAAATTCAAATTTCATTGGTAATATAAAAAATTTTAAATTAGGTCATTTGGAAATGTCTGTATCTACAATAAAATTGTTAACATTTTTAAGTTCTAATTGCAACTCAATTTCATCTCTATCATATCAATGTTATAATAACTACGAACATCAACAAATGATGGGTTTATCACAAATTATTAAATCTCAAAAGAATCTTAGAAAAATATTATTTAGATCTCCTTTGAACCAATCATTATTATCATTAAAAAATTCTAATTGTTCAAATACATTAAACACAATCATATTTTATGATATTGAATTTAAAAATATAATTATTTTAAATGAAGTATTTAATCAATTAAATGTTTTAGAATCAATTCATATTATTTATTGTAGATATCTAGATACCAAATTTGTTCAACAAATTATTAATATTAATAAACCATTTAAATTGAAATCTTTATTTTTGCATGAAGTATCACAATTTGAACCATATGATCTGCTATTACAACATTTTGGTTGTTATTTAGAAAATTTTGAAAGTAATGTAGATAATGATCCACAATTATTACAATTATTTAAATCAGTTACAAAATATTGTAGTAAAATTAAATCTTTATACTTACACCTATTGTGGGATTATCGGAATATTAACTTAGTATTCAATTTAATTGAAAATATTAAACAAAGTCTTAATTATCTTTCAATTGATCTCAGTTATGACGCTAATATGACAAATGATTTTCATTCAATTATATTACAAAATTTAGGACAAATTCTTCCTTTTAAATTAGAATATTAGAATTTGTGTCTTGCAATTAATGAAAGTGATTTAGAAATATTCTTAAAAAATTCTCAAAATACTTTTATTAAAGAATTGTCAATTAAAAATGAAAGTCATGATCATTATGTAACTATTTATCCTTGTATAAAGGAATATATTATGAAAAAGAAAAAAGTTAAATATTTGACTATTTCTGATAAATTCAAAGTAAATTGGTTTTCTTCGAAAGATATAGAGGAATTTAGATTATATGATATACAAATTTTAAAATATAGTTATATGAAAAATTTTGATATATTATATAAAGGAGATTTATCTATGCTTCTATGGTAATAATGTGAAATAATCTAAATTGTATAGTTACAATTAATACTTTGAATTGTAATAATGTATATTAGAGATATTTAAAGAATAACTTTTTATGACTTAAAAAATTCAAAGATAAATTATGTATTTGAATAATGGTTGGTATTCTATTAGGAAAGAAAAATTTGGTTATAAAGGAAATAAAAAAGTTAGGTTAGCTCTCAATTGTTCAATTTGGAGGTTTTTAGTTAAGAGGTACTACTATGAACATTATTTATTTATGTTTTAAAAATAATAATTTAAAGTACAATAAAAATTTTTATTTATATTATTTAAAATATTTAAAATTTGGTTTTTTATAGCCTAAGTCATGTTAAAATTGAACATATGATATTACATTTGTTATTATCTGTATAATTCCATTATTTTAACAAATTCTTTATCAATTTGGTTAAAATTTAATATTAACTGAAAAATAATATAAAAATCGTCAAATGGTCCTGACAGTATTTTTAAATCCTTTATAACAAAAGAGTATATAGATAAGTATGATATAACCTTCATTTTATGTATGGTACAGTGCTATACTCAATTTAGAAAAATAGTATGGATCCATGTAAGCAGATGTGCATCATACAGTATTACACTGGTGATCGTACTTCAACCGTCAAACCACATTTTCAAATTTCAAATTTTAAGTTTTACAAACTATTATCAATCTTTTTTTTTATTGGCTCCAAGTTTTGGTTAGACGCTTCAAGGTAGTTGTAAATGTTTTTTTTTGGCTTATGTTTACTGTCTGAGCTTTTCTCCATTCTTTAGATTTGGTTCTTCAAAGTGGTAGTTAATTTTAAAATTTTTGCCCATTCATTAATTTCGCATTATTTCTTTTTTATTAGTTTATCATTATTAAATAAATTTTCTTCTATTTCTAGGGTTTATTTAGGTGCTTTAAGATGGAAATGTCATTTGTTTACATTCATTTCGTCAATTCTATCTCTTAAGGTTTTCTTCATTATTTAGTTTCAGTTTGGCTCTTCAAGGTTTTTATTTTATCAAATTTTCATATTATCATTATTTCTTTTTTTATTAGCCTATTGTTATTGAAATAAATTTTCTTCTTTGGGTTTATTTAGGCGTTTTGAGGTAGTAGGTATATTTTTATTTTATTCATTTCATCAATCCTTGTTTATAATTTTCCTTTCCTTTTTTTAGGATTTTAATTGATTGGACTTTTTCCTCCAAAACATTCTCTGGAAAGGCGTGAATTGATATTTCAGATTCAGCAAGCATTTTTTTTTTGTAAAATCTCTCTTACTTTGACATGCCATTGCTCGATTAGCATTGCCATCAATACCGCGTTTATCCTGAATTACTATTATATTCTTTTCCAAATAAAATAGCCACTCATATAAATTAGTAAGTGTTTCTTTCGTAGGAGATTTATTAGTATTGCCATTCATTATGATTGCTATAATAAAGTAATAGAGTTAATGCAGAAAATTTAGTCCGGAACAATAATCATCAGTCCGGAGCAATAATCCAGAAAATTTGCTGAGCCACAAATTGTGCGATAAAAGTAAATGTATCACACAGTTAGTCTGCACGACATATTAATTTTCAAAAAGATACCTCTAGTCTATTTTTTTCCCGAACAAATGTGAGAAAAGTATGAAGTGCGATATAGAGGGCTAAGAACTTTGTAATTTTTGGAGCGAAAATAAATTCTTTAATTACCCTCCCCTTTAAATCGCTCTTTTGATAATCCTGCCATTCTTCACATAAAATAAATAAATAATAAATAAATAAACCCTCCCCTTTAAAAGTCAACCAATCAGATGTCACGATTTTATATATAACTTTTTTTATTAATAAACAATAAACCCGGGTCCCCGGATCAATTTTAAATTTCAATGTTACGTGAACCGAAAAATTGAATTTGTGTGGCCTAATCATGATGAAGAAAAATTAATATTAGCAGAAATTTAATAATAAGAAATAGAAAAATGGTAACAACCATTTAATAATCTTTGGTTTGGAGATGCATTTTTAAATAAAAAATTTTCAACAAAGAATAAAAATTCTGATAAATGATCAAAGAGAAAATACAATTGTAATTTCATAATGAACGTACTTAATCCTAAATATATATATTGAGAAGACCTTTTTACATCTTATTTCTGAAGATTTGTGTCAGTGATTTTTATTATTTACTTATAATATGTTTAATTCAAATTTGAATTTGATAAAAGCAACTAAATATGGTAGAAAGTATCCTAATTACAATCAAGAGAAGTTTTGATGAGAAGATTTCAAAATCCGAATTGATATAATTTAAATTTAAGAAAAATTATAAAATTAAAACTAAATGATAATATTATTAATAGTAATAAAGAAAATCAGAAGTAGAACCATGGTACGTTCTAATATAGTGATTTTTAAATTAAATATTGCGATATATTTTTTAGTAAAGCAAAATAAATGATTTAAATTTAGAATATTTTATAAGTGTACTTCTTGTAAAAAGAAAATTAAAGACAATGGTATTTATAAAACTTGTATTAGTTGTCATAATATAAGAAAGGTTTATTATTAAAGAAGAAGAAATGGAAGATAGAGAAATCCCGAAGGGTGATACAAAGTATCTAAGTGATATTGTTAAAATTAAGAAAATACGAGAGAATAATGGGAAAAAACGGAGAGTTCAATAATACTGCTGAACAACTAAAAGTGTCCGTCCAACTTTCTAATAAATATTTTTATTCATTTTTTTTTCCACTAGTAAATAATTTCATTGTAATTAATTGTGAAAAGTGAAAAAATTGTGTGGGAAGTGGATAAAAAAATTTATGATCAAATAAGGTTAATCCTGAATAGTCTAATAATAGATAGTCTGACCATTATTTCAATTATTATTGTTATTTGAATCATTTATGGCTAACCCCTCGGTGATTTTAGGCTGGTAGGCTGTGTTCGTACAACAGTATACTTTTTCATATATACTACCAATTGCCCACTTTTTTCGCAAATAATTTTTTCATCAATTTTTTTTTTCACCGACTATAATTTTTCACCAATTTTTTCAACATTTTCCGAACGTATAAAATACAACGCAAATGTCAGATAACGTAGATTTTACTTCCACTTCCGCTAAAAATGAATCATTTACTTCTACGGAATCTTCGAATGATATGAGTAATAAGGTTTTGTGTTTTAATTTGACTGTCACTTTTTGGAAAGTTCCAATATGATGTGTATTGTTTATTAATGAATGTTGCTAATGATTCTATTATTTAATCGCTGATATAAAGATAGCAGAGGAGAAGAAGTTGGATGGACCTAAACCATGTCCTTACTGCGGAAAAATTATACCCAATCCCAACATAATGGCAAAACATTTAAAAGAAAATTGTAATCAAACATATGATATCAAAATATGTTGAAAATATAAATAATAATGTAATAAAGTTATTTACGTTATATTTGTAAATATGTTAAATATGTTGAAAATATAATAAATAAAATATAGTAAATACTAGTTGCTTCGCACCTTCGCACCGAGACCAATGAGTTTGTTTAAATAAGAAAAATTTAGTATTATAATGTAAAATACTAAGTAAATTAAAGATAATTTTTTGTTTATAAGGAATTTAATATGATAATAATTAGTTAACAAAAAATAATAAAATAATACTGTAATATGTATTAAATTATATTTACAATAATGTAGCTATTTATATTAATGATTTGACGTTTGAGTATAGAATGAAATTCGGATTAATTAAGGAATTGTGAAAAAATAATTATCAATAAAAATTGATTAATTTTTTTAGTAGTATTTTCAAAAAAACTTTAATATCTATATGAAAATACTACAAATATTTTTATTAATTAATTACATTAATATTTTATAATTATTTCTTATTATTTTATTTTACGTCAATCTTAAACTTATAACCAACTTGGGAAAAATATTTGAACAATTAAATGTATTAAAATTTGTTCATTTCATTTATTATTATTCTTTTGATACTCATTTTACTCAATAAATTATTAATTTAACTATTTGTATAAAATTCTTTATTCAAAAATCTGGTGATTATTTAGAGAATTCCGGATATGGATTTGGTTATAATAGTCTATTATTAAATCAACAATTTCTTTAATTAATTAATTATAAAAATATCAAATTTTTTTTTGATTTTTATGAATTTGAAAATCAAACTATTTATCCAGCGTTCAATTTAATTGAAAAAAAAAAATCTCGTCGGCCAATTTTCCTACATGTTATATTGATTTTTTTTAAAAAAATAATAATTTTGTAAATATATTTAATATAATATTTTATTTCTTTATTTAATGATAAAAAAATTGAAAGAAAAAGAAAAAAAAATTAAAAAAATTTGGGGAAAGAAAAAGGATAAAGAAAGAAACCGGTTTAAAAAAAGGGAAATTTCCGAAAAAAAAGGAATCTGAAAGAAAAAATAAGTACTGAAAAAAATTCTGAAAAAAAAAAAAATTTCAGTTTTGAGAAAAAAATAAAACCTAAACGGGAAAAGAGTGAGAAAAAACGAATTTTTCAGTTTGAAAAAAAAACTAAACCGAAAGAAGAAAAGAAGAAAAGGGAGAAAAAATTTTTTTCGGTTTAAAAAAAAAAAAATATTATGATTGGAATGCACACGGATCAAATAGTTTTAACCATAAATAGATTAGATGGATGCATGTCACGGGTTTTAATTATATGGCATGGGATTTCAATTTACACAATTCAAATTATTGACAAACATCAGACAAATTTTTTTTTTATCTTTTACATATGCCGCAAATATATTTGTCATTTATTGAAAATTTAAAATACTATATGATTTTTTAATATTTATCTTTAAAATATAACATCGGTATTACAAGTATCCTTATAATTGTGACACGTGAATTGTGATCAACAAATGTAATTGGAAACCACCGTGATTCTTCAGGCTTCTATATATTATAAAGTGGGCCAAAATGAACCGTTTTAAACTTACTGATCCTCCTATGGTCTCAAGGCCTGGGAAGCTCAATTTACCGATACCTGCAAAAAAAGAAAAAATCAAAAAAAAAAATCAAAATAATTAAATATATATGTAAATAAATTTTAAAAAGGTTCAAAGCAAAGATTTGCTTCGAAACTTACCAATTCATTCCAAGACGCCAATCTACAGTAAGGTATCGTGCCAAAAGAACCAGATGCCTACAAAAAAAAGATAAAATTTTTTAATAAAAAAACAATATTACAGATAAGTTTCGTAAGAAACTTACCATATTGGCATATCCAAGTCCTAAAGCTGAAAGAACCGATACTTACAAAAAAAAAAGAGAGATTAAAAAAATAAATTATAAAAGAATGTTTCAAATTTTGTTTTGAAACTTACCAGACTCAAGTCCCAAGCATAAAAAACTGACACCTACAAAAAAAAATAAAAGAAAACAAAGTAAACAAATTTTTTTTAAAAAAATTTTGAACCATAGAGTCCATGCAAGAAACGTTAGTAAAACGTTTCTACAAAGTTAATTTTAAAAAAGCCCTGGAGCTTATCTATGTACTTACAGACTGAAGCTGAAACAAATAAAAGGCCATTCATGAAAATTTTTTTTTAAAAAAATAAATTATATATTTATTTACCTTTATCCAAGAGGAATCAAAATAATGGTGTAGTTAGCCGAAAAATAATTAGCCACCACAACGTGATCCGGACCTGGCTAAGGCGTAGATCGTCATGGAATTCCAGGGGATTTTCTGCGATTAAAGATGATTGGCAATCAGGAATTCAGCTCCGTTTTTTGGCTAAACTACATCATGGAATCAAAGTTGAAAAGATCCTAAGAAAGTCTAAAAAAGGTTATTAAAAATATTAACTTTTTTGATTATCTTTTATAGATCAGCTGGTTTCTTGCAAAAAAAAACTAACTTTATTAGATTATATTAATAAAATTTAATGTATAAATGGATTAATACTGTAATTGTTATATAATTGAACTAACTTTATTAATTCATATTGCAATTGTGTCACATATAAACAGATTATTAACAATTGAGAAGACAATTGAATGATGTAAGTCTTTTTTAGAAGAAATTTTTAATCATGCTCCTTGCCTTAGAGTATGAAGTTATTACGTTAGTTTTTTTCGTTTCGTAAGTCTTGAATAATTTTTTTTTTCATTAAAAGGTTAATACACATATTTGGATATATACTGTACAGTACATAATTATTGAGAAAGCTTGAAACCATGTGATTATTTTAAAAAAAAAAGATTTAAGGATTGTATATAACTGAACTATATAAACACCGAAATTCCTGCATACATACGTAAGGGATTTCTATAGTTCTCACTATAGATTTTTTTAATGTTACACGATTGTTTTATATAATTACGAAAGAAATAAAAATTTATTAAATTAATTTTAACTTCTATATACTTTAAATAATGTGACACCGATTTAACTGATGGTTTTAACAGAATTACAGCAAAAAGCCAACGTTGTTGAAATAGGTTTAACTTGTTAATCACTAAGATCTGCATACAGTAGACTCTTTTCGCAATGATACTAAATTTAATTACAAAGAGATTTTCCAATTAAAATTTCTGCAAGGATCCATATATAGTTATTCCGAAGAATTGTATATCATTGAATGGATACTTTGACTACCATAACTGATAAGTGTTAAAGTTTAGTACGAGAATTTTTTTTTTTTTTAAAAAAAAAAAAAAAAATTTACACACCTCTCCCTGTAAATCCGTTTTTTATATTACACCTTTTTTCCGTAAAAGGCTCATATTTCCGGAATTAATAACCTTGTATCACGGAATTTATCGAATTATTTACATTTTCCGTGAATGGATCCGTGAAAGGCTAAATTTTACGGAGTTTTTACAGAAATAACGGATTAAATTTTTTATAGGATCTGCATTGATAGTGTTACGCGGATTTGCGCCACATCTAAGATTCAAGAAAGTGGCATAAGATTCCAGTGATCAGCGGTGTAACGGTGTAACTTATACTTTTTTATAACTTATACTTAGTTTAATTTACACCTAGTGTAATTTATACGAAGTTTATACATGGTATAATTTATACCGAAATTACGAACAATATAAATAGAATGGGCGAACGAGGGGATTTTAAGGAGGATTTTATGAAGTATTAATTTTAGTTTAGTTTAGTTTTTAATTTTATCGGTAATATTGCAGATCGCCGGTGGAGGCAGCAATATTTTATCTTTCTGTTATGATTTATGAATTAGTATTTATTTATTTGTATTGTTTCATTTATTTTAAGTTATTGTTTATTTGAATAATATACACTTTAAAGTTACATATATAAGTTTTAATTTTATATCATTTTATTTTACTGTTGCTATCACGTGACTCCGACGCAAATCGATAGTAACAATAGCCCTAGCACCTTTATCAATAATCTTATTCGAAATTGATAAAAAAAATGGGATTTTCATTTTTTTAATTATAAAACAGCATGTTCGACATTTTTTAATTAAAAAAAAAGTTAATTACAAAACGTCACGACAAGTGACAAAAATTAGATTAATTAATGACTATAAATCATTGGATATTTTTTACCGAATTCATATTAAATGACTTTACTTATCATCAATTTAATTATTTAATACTAAAAAATACGAACTATAAAAATAAATATTCAGCTGGAATAGACTTTCATTTTGGCCAATGTAACACCAATTCCTACATAAACTTTTTTTTTCACTTAGAAAAAAAAAACGGTTTCATGCTTTTGGCTATCTAACTAAACCCCCAAAAAAAAGTCTCCTAACTTACACTATATTACTTGCAACAATGACGAAAGAAAAAGGATATTTCGTTAAGTAGAATAACAGTAGTGTTTCTTTTCTTTAAGGGATATTACTAACGTTATGCTTTTCTTTTTTAGGTCTATTAGAATCAGACAAATGGTAAATATAATGGGAATGTTTTTTTTTTTAACTAAATAAATGGTGATAAATTGTACGATGAATTTAAAGAATGGTTTTTTTTTTAAAGAATGTAATTACATTCTTTCTTATTTCTTTTTATAGACGCCTTCTTGAAATGTAAAGCTTAAGGGTAAGTTTCGTGTGTTTCCATTTTTGAATATTTTACTAAAGAAAAAAAAACTTTTTTTTTTACTTTTAGGACGCTGAACTTCTTGGACAAACTTGGGACTTGAAGGTATATAAGGGGTCTTGCTTGAATTGTGTTATTGCGTTAACGAAACATGCTAACATTTTTATTTATTTTTTAAAATCTTAGCTCTTGAAACCGGAATGGGTAGGTAGAGAAATAAAGTTACTTGGTTTACTTTAAAAATGTCATTAACGTTCTATTTCTTTCTTTTTTAAGTTAAAACTTTGAATAGAAATTTAAAATGTAAATTAATGGAAGCGTTATTTTTTTTTTGTTTGAAGAGCCTTACTCACGTTCTGGTTTCTTCTTTTTTTTTTTTAGATCTCTTACTGAAATAAACTAACATTTTGGTAAGTGGAACAATGGGGATGTTTGTTTTCTCTAAAGATGTACTAACGTTCTATATTGACTTTTTTTTAGGACGTGGACTCTCTAGAACTTTAACTTGGAGTTTTCGATAGGAGTTTGTTCTCTAACTAAAGAAACGTTATTTACGTTTCTTTTTCTTTTTGTTTTAGGTTTTGATCAGCTTTAATTTTGTAGTAAGTTTTTGGCGGGTTTTTCTTTAACTTTTAAGAAACGTTATTAGCGTTAATGTTTCTTTCTCTTTTTTTTTAGGACGCGACTTTAAATTTAAAGTAATGTCCTAGAAGAGAAAGAGAAATTTTATATAACATTTTTTTTTAAAAAAAATCTATCAAAAATACTTACCGAACACATAATTAAAACTTCTGGCAAGTATTATAAAGTGTACTTTTAATGTTTCACTTTCTCTCTTTTTTTCAGACAACTCGGGCTTTTAGTGAATATTTTGATAAAGTTTTTTTTAACTTTAAAAAACGTTAATAATAATTCTTTTTCTTTTTTCCTTAGACTTTAACTTTGGACTTCAACTTTATGATAATGTAAGTTTTTTGAATAGGTAAGAGGGTTTTTCTTTATTGTTAAGAAATATATTTAATGCTTCATTTTCTTTTTGTATAAATATAGAATTTTGATTTGAATTTTAATAAAGTTGGACTTTAAGTTATTTCTAACATCATTTCTTATTTTTTTGTAATCAGCCTTCGGAAATGATGACTAAAGAAATAACACAAGAGCAACACTTTTGAAAAATGTTTACTCCAGAGGGAAATTTTCGGAAGCGACACATAATCTCAGTAATACAATTTAAACAATATATAATAATATATTGACTAACCAATTTAATCTAAATGACATTCGTAAATATAATGCATATATACTAGAACGAAGTATGGGTTGCAGGAGACTCTAGAATTAATACGAGAAAAGATCTTTCTAGCATCTCTTTTACTTTTTTTTGCAGAAATGAACTTAATAATTAGTAATAACTTGTAGAATTAATATTATTTAATAATTCTTATTAATAAATACATTTAATAAATAAAAATAAAATATATATATATAATATTTTATATAAATATCGACCTTAGCTTGCTCAAAATTAAACTGGTTTTTCTTAACCTGAAGTCACGTGATTATACCGATCTGCGCCAAGAACAGTTAGAAATCATGTGAACCTATCAGATTTCATTCAATAATAAATAATAAGCCTATCGGGTATATCCGTATATGAACTTTACCTTGTATATTATACATTATGCATTATGCATTAAGAAAAATTTTAGGCTCGATGTTTGATACACGTTCTGGATATTCTGGATGTTGTCATACATGCAATGATGCAATGCTTGTACTTGTGAAACATTTTACACAATGCATTTTGCATAAATATTATTACTATATTTATCCATACTAATAAAAGCGTTTAATAAAAAAAAGAAAAAAGATATTTACTTTATCTTTCCAGTTAAAGAGAATTTTAATATAACTATACAGTAATGGCTCATGGTAATAATCATATATGTAATATAAACATTTAATATAATTAGAATTTTAAAATGTGCAATATAACAAACTAGACAGCTCTGAAGAATTTGAAATTGAGGAATTTGAAGAAAGCAGTACTAAGGAATCTGAAGGTATATTAAACAAACTGAAATATTAAATCTTATTTATAAAAATGTTTAAATTCTAACTATAATTATATCTTATAATATACAAGTATAATTTAAACTAACTATATTATACAAAATTATATTAAATAATTTAGCTCGTAAGTTAATAAGTTGTCTTATAATTAAATAATCACTATATTACTTATTATTTTTGTTATATTCCATATAACTAATAAATAATTCATTAATAATTAATAATACTGTAGTTAGTAAGTTACCAGTTATTAAAATCTTTAGTTCTTTACTATATAATTAATTCAGATAACTAAATTCTAATTATTTAATAATTAATTATATTATAGATGGTAGGCTACAATATACTTATTTGTCTAATATTTTATATAATTCAACTAATTATATATTATTCTTAATTTAAATAATTAGATTGTAAGTAACATATTTAATTTACAGTAAATACTTTAGATTCTATCTACATCTAACTAATTAATAATTAATAATACTACAGGGTGTAAGTTATACGATATTTATATTTCTATTATTTAACTAGTTTTAAGCTAACTAAATTCTTTATTTAAAAAATTATTTTGTAATTCATTTTAGTTGGTAAGTTATAAGTTATGTATTTAATTCCATCATTACTTATTTATATAATATTTAAATTAACTAAATTTTAATTTAATAGATCGTAAGTTATAAGTTATTTATTTATTCTATTATTACTTATTTATAAGAATAAATGTATTTGTAACAACTTATTACACAACTTATTTGTAACAACCTATTTGTAACCCATATTATACTCTCCTTTCTTTTTATTTTTACTATGTATCCTAAGGATGAATTTTTTTCATACTGAAAATTCTATTTATTACATATTATTCATATTATTCATTATATTCTAATTATTTTATAATTTCTGCTAGAATATTAAAATTACCATATTCAGACTTTGTGTATAACTTAGAATTTTCTTTTTGGGAGGTCATTTAAAATGGAGCAGTTTTAACCAATATTATGGTATTACATATGGCAAATAAATAAGATTTTACTAACCAAAATTCCAAGTCTTCAAAACACTTAATAAAAATGAAAAGTGGAGGTATGACAAATATTTTTACTATATTTTTATAATATTACTTTGTTTACTTCATCCCCTTTTTTTTGGTAATACTTGTTCCACAATATTTTTTCCTACTTTCGAAAATTACTATTTATGAAATTATATAACTTTAATTCCAAAAAGAAAATTTTTACTGCAGGTCTCATAATTCTAATGTTAGTTATTACAAATAAGAGCATATAAGTTGTTACAATTAGATTTATTTTTTATATAATATTTACATAATTTAAACTAACTAAATTTTTAATTTAAAAATTTTTACAATTTATTTTAGTTGGTAAGTTATCATAAGTTATTTATTTAATTCTATATTTTATTACTTTATTTAAATTAACTAAATTTTTTATTAATAGATCGTAAGTTATAAGTTATTTATTTAATTCGATTCTTACTTATTTTTATAATATTTACATATAATATAAACTAACTGAATTATTTATTTAAAAAATTATTTTTTAGATGGTATGTTATTTATTAATTCTATTATTAATTTAACTAACTAAATTCTTTATTTAAAAAATTATTTAATAATATAGGAGGTAAGTTATTTATTTAATTCTATTATTACTTATTATATAATATTTACATATAATTTAAACTAATTATTCTTTATTTAATAGATCGTAAGTTATAAATTATTTATTTGATTCTATTATTATTTATTTATATAATATTTACATATAATTTAAATTAACTAAATTCTTTATTTAATAGATCGTAAGTTATAAATAATTTATTCAATTTTATTATTACTTATTTATATAATAATTACAAACTAAATTTTTTATTTAATAGATCGTAAGTTATAAATTATTTATTTAATTTTATATATAATATTTACATATAATTTGAACTAATCCAATCATTATTTAAATAATTCTTTAATAATATAGGGGGTAAGTTATTTATTTAGTACTTTACTTATTATATAATATTTACAAATAATTTAAACTAATTAAATTCTTTATTTAATAGATCGTAAGTTTATAAGTTATTTATTTATACTATTATTACTTATTACATAATATTTACATATAATTTAAACTAATTAAATTCTTTATTTAAAAAATTATTTAATAATATAGGGAGTAAGTTATTTATTTATATATTATATACATTTAATTTAAACTAATTAAATTCTTTATTTAAAAAATTATTTAAATAATATAGGGTGTAAGTTATTTATTTAATTCTATTATTACTTATTTATATAATATTTGCATATAATTTGAACTAATTAAATTCTTTATTTAAAAAATTATTTAAATAATATAGGGAGTAAGTTATTTATTTAATTCTATTATTACTTATTTTAATTTTTAATATTTATATATAATTTAAACTAACTAAATTCTTTATTTAAAATAATTTATTTAGTTAGTAAGTTCATTAGTATTGCTTATATATATACTAATATTTACATATAATTTGAACTAATTAAATTTTTTATTTAAAAAATTATTTAAATAATATAGGGAGTAAGTTATTTATTTAATTCTATTATTACTTATTTTAATATTTAATATTTATATATAATTTAAACTAATTAAATTCTTTATTTAAAAAACTATTTTAATAATATAGAAAGTAAGTTCATTATTATTACTTGTTTATATAATATTTACATATAATTTAAACTAACTAAATTCTTTTAAAAAAATTATTTTATAGATGGTGTGTTATTTATTTAATTCTATTATTGCTTATTTATATAATATTTACATATAATTTAAACTAACTATTTCTTTAATTAAAAAATTATTTAAATAATATAGTGAGTAAATTATTTATTTAATTCTATATTTCTATTGTTACTTATTTATACAATACAATATATTTACATATAATTTAAACTAATTAAGTTTTTTTATTTTAAAAATTATCTAATAACATAGTTAGTAAGTTATTTATTTAATTTTATTATTACTTATTTACATCAGTAATAATTGCATAGTATAATCTAAACTAACTGAATTTTTATTTAATAGATCGTAAGTTATAAGTTATTTATTTAATTCTATTATTACTTATTTATATAATATTTACATATAATCTAAACTAATAACTAAATTCTTTTAAAAATTATTTTATAATGTAGAGGGTATGTTATTTATTTAATTCTATTATTACTTACTTACATCAGTAATAATTGCATATAATTTAAACTAACTAAATTTTTTATTTAAAAAATCATTTAATAATATAGGACGTATGTTTTTTTAATTTTATTATTACTTATTTATATATAATTTAAAATAACTAAATTCTTTAATTTATTAATATAGGGAGTAAGTTATTTATTTAATTCTATTATTATTTATTCATATAATATTTACAAATAATTTAAATTAATTAATTATTTAATAATATAGTTTGTAAGTTATTTATTTAATTTTATTATTACTGATTTATATAATATTTACATATAATTTAAACTAACTAAATTACTAAATTCTTTATTTAATATACTATTTAATAATATAGCATGTAAGTTATTTATTTAATTCTATTGTTATTTATTCATATAATATTTACAAATAATTTAAATCAATTAATTATTCAATAATATAGTTTGTAAGTCATTTATTTAATTTTATTATTACTGATTTATTTAATATTTGCATATAATTTAAATTAACTAAATTACTAAATTCTTTATTTAATATACCATTTAATAATATAGCATGTAAGTTATTTATTTAATTCTATTATTAACTTATTTATATAATATTTATATATAATTTAGACTAACTAAATTTTTTATTTAATAAACTATTTAATAATATAGTATGTAAGTTATTTATTTAATTCTTTTTATTACTTATTTATATAATATTTACATATAATTTATTAAAACTGACTAAATTCTTTATTTAAAATAGTTTGTAAGTTATAAGCTATTTATTTAATTTTATTGTTACTAATTTATACATATAATTTAAATTAATTATATTCTCTATTTAAAAATTTTTTTAATTTATTTTAGTTATTTTTGCTGGTAAATTACAAGTTATTTTTATTTATTTAATTTTGTTATTATTTATCTATATAATATTTATATATAATTTAAACTAACTAATTATTTAATAATATAGTGTGTAAGTTATTATTTAATTTTATTATTACTGATTTACAGTCAACGCTCGTTATAGTGAAGCTCGTTATAGTAAATTTGGCTTATAGTGAACTTTTTTATTCCCCCAGTTCACTTACTAATAAATCTTATTCATTATAGTAAACTTACTAATAAAGTCTCGATATTAGATATAGTAAACTTTTTAAAAATTTTATATAGAACGTATATTATAAATTTATATTCGTTATAGTAAATATCACGTGAAATCATTAGGTATATTGTTCACAAATCACTTTAAACACAAAAATTAGGATTAGAATTTCACTCTATTATTAATATTATTTGTATAAGGAATTAAATTTACAAGATCATACTATGAAATGCCAATAGAACTATTATTAGATAACACAGAATTGGAAATTCTTAAGGCTTTAAAATCAAAATTAAATACTTTTGTTAAAAGAAACTTTTTATTGTATTAATATACTAAGGTTTACTATAAAGAAATCTTTCATGTTTGTGAATATTCGTTATAGTGAACGAAAATGAGGGTTCACTATAACGAGCTTTGACTTTATATAATATTTATATACATTTTAAATTAAAAAGTCTATTTAAAAAATTATTTAATAATTTAGGCAGTAAGTTATTTATTACATATTTACATAATATTTACATGTAATTTAAACTAACCAAATTCTTTATTTAAAAAATTATTTTGTAATTCTATTTAGTTTGTAAGTTATAAGCTATTTATTTAATTTTATGGTTACTAGTAATTTATACATCATATAATTTAAATTAATTAAATTCTCTATTTAAAAATTATTTCTGATTTATTTTAGTTATTTTAGCTGGTAAATTACAAGTTTTATTTAATTTTGTTTTTATTTATTTATAATAGTATTTATGTATAATTTAAACTAACTTAATTCTTTATTTAAAAAATTATCTTGTAATTTTAATTTTATTGTTACTAATTTATTCATATAATTTAAATTAATTAAATTCTCTATTTAAAAATTATTTTTTAATTTATTTTAGTTATTTTTGCTGGTAAATTACAATTTATCGTTATTTGTTTTTATTTATTTATATAATATTTATATATAATTTAAACTAACAATTATTTAATAATATAGTGGGTAAGTTATTTAATTTAATTTTATTATTACTGATTTATATAATATTTATATACAATTTAAATTAAAAAAAATTATTTAATAATTTAGGCAGTAAGTTATTTATTTAATTATTACTTATTTATATTAACATAATTCTTTATTTAAAAAATTATTTTGTAATTTATTTAGTTTGTAAGTTACAAACTATTAATTTTATTGTTGCTAATTTATATAATATTTGCATATAATTTAATTGATTAAATTCTCTATTTAAAAATTATTTTTTAATTTATTTTAGCTATATTTGTTGGTAAATTACAAGTTATTGTCATTTATTTAATTTTGTTATTATTTATTTATATAATATTTAAACTAACTAAATTTTTTATTTAATAGATAGTAAGTTATAAGTTATTTATTAAATTCTATTATTGCTTATTTATATAATACTTATTTATAATTCAAACTAAATTTTTTATTTAAAAAATTAAATAATATAGAAGGTAAATTATTATTTAATTCTATTATTACTTATTTATATAATACTTATATATAATTAAACTAATTAATTTCTTTATTTAAAAATTATTAAATAATATAGTATGTAAGTTATTTATTTAATTCTATTATTACTTATTTACATAATATTTATTTATTAACTGAATTCTTTCATTTAAAAAAGCATTGGCTACTTCTGCTGGTAAATTATAAATTATTTATTTAATTTTATTAATAATTTATTACTTATTTACAGAGAAAAGCCAAAATTACCTGGACATTTATTGTATATTTTTCGATCTAGTGATTGTTTTTTATGATTTTAGATTCATGCATCTATCTCACTGAAAGGATTCAAATGATAATAACTGAATTTTTTGGGAGATTAATATTTAGCACTTTAAATTGTTTAGATATATTTTGCTCTGGTAATTAGATTTTCATAAATTAAATTCATCTCAATAAGATGATCCAAATGGTGGTAAATTTATAATATTCTGATTGATATTAACTGAGACACTGAGTTATAGTAATTTAATTATTTTATATTTTTTGTTATATAAATTGTAAAATTTATGCATTAATTGGATTCATATTTCCAAAAGAATTCTGAAATGACATAAGTAATTAAAATATAGTAGAAATTTGTTTATTATTATTATTAATACAAAATTATACGTTTTTTATATCACATTAACATGATCTGCATAATTTTAAGTGTTCAGATAATTTTGGCCACTATCTTTATATAATATTTGCAAATAATTTAAACTAACTAAATTCTTTATTTAAAAAATCATTTAATAATATAGGGAGTAAGTTATTTATTTAAGGGGAGCGTGTAGTCACGTGATTTTTATTATGATCAACATGGCACAAAATTTAGGAATCCGAATCGGAAATTTTTAAGGGCGTCTCATA